GTGTCCCTGTTCCCTAGAGTGTGTAGGTGGGTGGGTTTTACAGCCAGACTTTGGGCATCCATGCTGTTGGCTGTAAGGACAGGGAAGCACCACTTATTTTTGGACCCTTGTCACAGGTAGCTAGGTGGTGTGAGTGGAGCCACCAGTTCTCAGGCCCCTAATGTGGGCAGGTGAGGACCCTGCTTAATGGGCAGAGCAGTGTCAAATGTTACTAATCTGCCACTCCACCATATAGCTGATACAGTTGAAGTTAGGCTTCAGGTGTACACCTTGTTTTACTGTGCTAATGAGAGCCTATGCTGTTGAAATGGGCCCACACAGGTTTATGCAGGGGTGAAAAGCATTCAAAGTCTGTTCACCCCTTACGCCTGTGCCTTGGAAAAGGAGCTGTGCTTGCTCTGAGTTCCCAGCTTAGGGGAGCTGGCAGATTATTTTTTCTCTGTTTGTTAATTTGTTCCCTCTCCAAGGCTGGGAGAATGGCTCAGGATACGTGACGGGTCCTACTTCCAGCCCAGGGGATGTATCAATTACTGAAGCCAGCGTGGGACCCAGTGCAGAGTAGGGAGGAAGCAGATAAATGGGAAAGAGGTTCTTCCTAAATGGGGTTTTTATTAATCCACGTGGTGTGTTAGACACATATAATTATCTTTTACCAATTGAGCGCCGCTTTTCACTGGTTCTGGAGGGTTGAGTAGACTCTCTGCCACTTGGTCGCTCCCAATTTGGAAAACGCATCCTAAGCGCCACTGTTTGCCTCACCGCGCACACCAGCCTATCCAGCCTGCAGGGTGCTGGTTCCCGCCCAGTCAGGTCTGGCAACTCCTTGCTGCTTCTGAACCATCTCTCCCTCCCCCTGCCACTCAGTCCGATTCTTCAACTTTACCTTTGATGTTCAGGGCTCTTAGATTTTCGTATATAACTGATTCATTTGTTTTTCAGGTATTTGTTGTAAGAGGGACCACAGGAAGCATCTGACTACTCTGCCGTCTTGGCCCTGCCCTGCTTGGAACTTTTGAGGAGGCCTGATGGTGCAGTGGTTAAGAGCTATGGCTGCTAACCAAAAGGTTGGCGGTTAGAGTCCACCAGTCTCTCCTTTGAAACCCTATGGGGCACTTCTACTCTGTTCTATAGGGTCGCTATGAGTTAGAATCTACTTGATGGCAACAGGTTTGGTATTTGGGTTTTGCTGGCACGGTAGTTAAAGCAATCAACTGCTAACTGAAAGGTCATCAGTTTGAAGCCACCAGTGGCTCTGCAGGAGAAAGATGTGGCAGTTTGCTTCTGTAAAGATTTACAGCCTTGAAAACCCTATGGGGGTAGCTATGAGTTGCAATCAACTTGATGGCAATGAGGCAGTGGGTTTCTTTTTGTCGTTGTTTGTCTGTTTGTTCTTAAAGACAGGAGAACTTTCATTTTGAAGAAAAGGTGGAAATTCAGGATTTATTAAAAATCTCTCAATATTTAAACACCCTGAGAGTCAAATTCATATATATGCATGCCACTATTTTGCAAACCTTGATGTAACTCAGTCCCTATGTTAACAATGGAAAAAAAACTGACGATGAGAAATATGAAATAATTTACTGGAGATCACACGACCCTAATGTATCAGGTCTTCTGACTTTAAATTTTGTGTTCTTCCTACTATATCACACTGCCACTCCTAGGAAAAATGTCACTCTTCAGTGAAATAGGTTATATTGCTAGTCAAATTATTTTCTCTTTATACGTGATATTATATAGGAAAAACATATCAACTAGAAAACTTGAACTGTGGCTTCACTTCTTATATAAGCAATTGAACAAGAATCCTACTGTATCACAGTATATATTAAATGAAACAAAACAAACATCATGGTACCCTCTCTAACAACAAACCTATGAAATATCTTGGCCTATAACATAAGGGAGTGTTTGGATTTAGACAGATATGGCTTTTAATTTTTCCTCTGCCTCTTACTAGCTCTGTTATATTGAGCAAGTCTTTTATCCTTTCTGAACCTAATTTTTTTCTAATCTGTTAAACTGAAATCTTAATGTTGTTTTTAACTTAGTTTGTAATAATTAGATTAACAAGTGTGTATGATATCTTGCACAATACAAGCATTCAAAATAAATGTATTTATTAAAATAATTTCATTTAATTGTGCTGATATCATTCAAAAATAAATTTTTAAATGAATATATATCTGAATGTCAGGTATATGAAAGCAATCTGAGAGAATAAATATTATATAGTAGAAAAAACACACTGGCTTGAGAGACTTGGCTTTTACTCTCAATAGTGCCAAGAGTGATCATAGAAAAGTGACTTCATCTCAATCAAGCCCACTTTTCTCTCTAGAAAATGACTAGGGTTGACTCAGTGGACTCTAAGATACCAACTATGATTCATAAATACCTTCAAATACCTCTTTATAAGAATGACAATGACAAGCATAATATAAGAAAAAGAAAAAAATCCCTAGTTCTGTGTTGTAAAGACACACACACACACATCCACCACCATAGCCATAATGTGAAATATGTCTGCCTAAAGAGCATATATTAAAGTATCATGAAAAATATCAGTTTCTTCATTATTTCAGTCTTTCTTCTAGCTTTCTAATTTTGCTCAGTGCTAAACTAGTTGTTTCTAACCCAAAGGGGTTTTTATTTTCAATAATACATCGATTAGCATCACCCCTTGTTTGTTTATTCATTTATTCAAAATTTATTTTTGAGCATCTGTTCTGAGCTGGATATTGTGAGATGATGATGGCACAGTGGGTTGAGAGCAAAGACAGGGCAGTTCACTGGGTACTTTGGGGGCACCTAAGCTGCCTGCCACCCTAGGCGGAGAGCTGAGGATGAGGGCAGATGATTTCTGGCACTGTAGCAGATATCTAGGCAGTCAGAATGAAGATACATATCTTCAAGGAGGGCCACAATTCCAAATACTCCTGTTCTTTCCCATCTATCTGCTTTCAAAAGATTCAGGAGTTAGGCATGGAAGAAAATGAACCAATGTAGACACTCTCAGTAAGAAGGCATGTGTCCAAGCAACACAAGTGAAGAAACACAGACTCCAATGGAGAAAATAGAAATATCTAAATTCCATATTTAACACAGATTCAAAAAAGTCCCTTTATTTCTTATTTCTTCACTTAGAAGTTGAGTGATTATAATGTCTGTGTGATCAGGACTAATAACATCCATCTGCTCAGACTGAGGCCCATCCATATGCCCCATAATTAGTAGTATATATACCAGGATTGGCAGATTCTTTTCAAAGTAATAATATGCTTATGTAATAAGTGACTCTCATATACATCACAACTGATTAGCACACCAACACGGCACTAGTTACATATGATCAGCCAATTCAGAGGTCTTGTGTTCACATTTTATTCCAAGACTATTTTTACCAGTATTTTCATGGCTAATAGCCCCTGAAGAGGACAGATTATAACATATCATTAGTTTGGGAACAGAAATGTCAGCTGACAAACAACCTATTTATTTTCTGATCATTGATTTATTACATATATTTTTTATATCCTGAAGTGGCAAGTGTCCTTTGGAGTAAGTGTTTAGTAGCCGCTGATGAACTCATCATTAACTTCCTGCATCACTTAGTCAACTTAACATTATTTATAAGTTTATTAGTATTTTTATATTTCTAGACATTTCCAATGTTTAATTGCCCCCAAACTTTTACTTTTATGTGTGTAAAGTGTTGATATCTTTGCAATAAAGTTTGTCATCTTCCCAACAGAGTGTACCCATTGTTGACATATTTACAGGTTTCTCTGTTGTTATGCTAATAACCCTCATTTGCTTGTTTTGGAAAGGAATTGAATTCGAAATTGTCAATAGCTGTGAAGAGAACAATGGTGGTTGTTCCCATCACTGTGAACATGCAATTGGTGGGCCTCTTTGTTCCTGTAACCATGGACACCAGTTTGATTCAGATAAGAAAACATGCATAGGTAATATATGGTAAATGCCATCTCCATTCAGAGGTTACTATGGATTCATTTTGCCCTTCCTCTCTAATGTTTATTGTTGTAATGTAAGCCACATCTCTCAAATTGTAAGGAGAAATAGATTGAATATGTCTGTCTACTAGATAAATGTAAAAAAGAACTTGACATTACGTTTTCATATTTACCTTGATATTAAAGGAGATAGAAAACATTTTAACAGAATATATGGACTTAATTGATTTGTTTCAAGAAAATATTCCAGGGGCTATCTAACTATCACATGTAATTTGTGATTCAAATAATTGCTACCATGCACCCTGCTTGTCTCTACCTTGAGCAGAAATTAAATTATGTGCATTGGTTTTCAACTGAGTAACGATTTGGATTCAAATTCAACTTTGGTATGACAGTTAGTATATTCTAAAAGAAAACATTAAAAAATATCATTCTTTGAAAATCACAGCTCAAACTCATTTTTAATGGATAACTTTTCCAGCATATTATGAGAAGCTAATATGAGAAGAAAAATTTGTACCCTAGCCTTGTTTAATCATGAAATGTTTAATTTGGAGCTTCTGAGAAAAAAGAATATCCACTATAAAAGGAGATAGTGAGCATTGAACTATATTACTTTTTACTTGGCTTCTGTGAGCACTTCCAAGCCCCTAAAGCAGTGGTTTGCCATAATTCTGGAATTACGATACCATATTTGCTTATTTTCTTTCAAGATGTTTCATATCCCTTCTCTTTATAAATTAGAATATAGGTACATAATATATATAATATATATAATGATGTACTTAATATAGTTAGAGACAGTTTGGAGTATCATGAAACAAGAGGTCAATTTCAATGGTGTAAGTGTTTGGGCTTTTTGTTTTGGCAATATGATGACACAGTAAACATCAAGGAATTCTGTCATATTCTGGTTTAAGACATTATTTAAGTCAATACAATGTCATTGCTTGTATTTCCTGATCCAACATTGCTTTATGTATTGCTCTCATAGTCTGTAATTGGTAACTTATTGAAACTAATTGCTTTCCTTGCTTCTTTTTGTATAATGGAAAACATGTTTATATTTTTCCTACCCTGATAACTTTTAAATCTGTAGAAAAATTAACGGCCTTTCTTTCTTTTCCTTCCTCCCTTCCTCGCTCCCTCCTTACCTTCTTTCCTTCCTTGCATCTTTCCTTCCTCCCTCACCCCCTGTTTCCCTCCCTTCATCCTTCCCTCTTTTTCTTCCTTCCTTCCTTTGGTTCTGTCTGTCTGTCTTCCTCCTTTGACTGTTGGATGAGGGAAGCTGGAATTTTGTGAAATCTTTTCTTTGCAACTTACGATTTGATCTTTTTCCTTATTCTTTCTAAAGTACAATTCAGTACAGTTCTATTCACAGCTAGAAAAAAAATAGCATCTTCCAGGGTCAAAATTTAGAGAATTGCATATTCATGAGATCTCAGCAGTCAACATGACAACATTATATTGTTTATGGCTAAAGTTTATTTCATTTTCCAACAATAAATACCATCCATTTCTAAAAAGCAAATATTCACTAGAGTAAATGCACCAATTAATTTGGGGTGTACATACTTTGCTTATTTGGCTAAGAACCAATTAAGGCCACAGATGTTTTGTAAAAACATTCATGTATGAAGGAAATTAAAGAATTTTCTTTTTAACTCATTTTAGGATTAATTTTTTTTTAATATGAGAATGTACAAAGAAATGTAAAAACAAGCCATCCAATCTGCAAATGGCCAATCATTCTTGCCCAAAAGCAAGAACTTACCAGATGCAGGTTCAACTTTGGTATGGCAGGTAGTATATTCTAAAAGGAAACTTTAAAAACTACAATTCTTTGGAAATCACAGCTCAGACCCATTTTAGGATTTAAAAACCTACATATTGTTGACATATTTTGAAGGAAAGCTATACAGAGTGCAAGTTTTGACCAGCTGCAAGTTCAGTAAATTTAACCTTGTCCAGTTATTACAAAATATTTGTGATTTCTACCCTTTGAAACATTATTTTAATGACTATATCAGGGGGACAGAAATAGAAGATCAAGTTCTTCCTTGGAGATAGGTTTAGTTTTTATGCTTTCCTGATGTCAGAGCTAAAATGTTTGCTTGGTTTCCCTGCCTGCAAATGACACTCTACTTTTGAATAGGACTAAATTTTTATATGCAAGTGAATTTTTCTGCCATGTTGCAAAATTTGGTGTATTGGCCAGTTTAGGAAAGATACAATTATCAGAGTGCAGGAAAATTCAGTGGGAGAAATAGGAAGCGAAGATCTCACCAAATAAGATCTGAAAAGTAATCAAGAGATTTAGGAAACAGGTGATATAAAAATTAAAATAACAAAGCATTGTAAGAAAAGCTGGTGATGTAGAAAGGATGGGCTTTCAGATGAGTTCTGAACTGAGGATGGCATACTTGAGGCAAGCTAGAAATAGCCACACAGGGATGATAATAGAAGAGGAATCTGAAATGGATCATAAAATGATAGACCGAGGGAATTATTTTCAAATTATGTGATGCAGTTGTGTTCCTTGCTAGTTGAGAGCATGTAATCCTGAGACCTGTGTTTTTGGAGGCCCCAGTGGTATCTGAGAAAACTTTTTAAAACTTGGAAAGAAAGAAAACTAAATTATAAGATTTTGGATTAAATTAAACTAAATTATATATATATATATAAAACACCAAAGTTTTTGTTGTCCTCTATATTCATGCTATCTAATTCAAGGGACAAAGAAGTTTTAATGTAAGAAAGAGAAAATATGTAAAATTTTGTGAGTAGCACTGCTGGTGACATTTTGCAAGAGAACGAACATTTTGTGTCCAAATGACCTTCGTTTAGATATTTTATGGCGACCCCTCATCAAGATAGATTGATTCCATTTTCTTTCTTTCCTTTCCCTTGTCTGCATTTCCTTTTGCTGGTACCTTTTCCTAGGTTGAGAGACACTGACCTCTTACATCTATGGCTGTTTGTCTAGTTTTGGACTAATGTGATTTTGTAAACAGTACTGATAGGCCACCCATCTGAACAGCTCAGCCAACAAATGGTTTTGAACTGAACAAACCAAAGGGCTAGAGCCAAAAAACCCAGACCACACAATTCACAGGTTTCCAGCCTAAGGAAAGCAGTGGATGAAGAAATATCTGTTGTTGCTCCTTGGCCAATTATATTAGAAATGATCATCTCAAAACTCAGGCCCAATAGCTTATTATTTTGATGAGGTGTTTTAACTTGATGTCTTCTGGTACATTTGTATTTTCCCTAGGAATGTCTTAGGAAGAAAGCTTCAAGATTGTAGAATTCTAGAATAATAGTGCTGAAGGAGTCTTAAAGACCACCATGTAGAAAACTGTTCATCTCACAGGCCATTCCAGGACATTGATGTTACAGATTGTATCAAAAGCCCTGACACCTTACTCATCCCAGTCAAATCATCATCCAAAGAGTCAACAAATGCTTTAAAACATCCTGATATAAAAAAATAATATTTAAAATGATTGTCCTGCCTTCTTTCATAACTGCAGTTATCACTTCTATTACCAGTCGTGTGAGTTCCCTTTTCTTGGGGACACACTTTAATATGAAGTTCTAGAAGAACAAACACATTATGGAATCTAAGACTGCCTTCACTATGCAACTGTCCAATGTTCACGAAACAGAATTTTTTGGCTCTTCTTTCTCAAACTTTTCTTAGTTCTTCAAATTCTCTGTTTATTCTATCAAATTCCTATTTAAACTAGAAAAATAGCAAAGATCTTACTTCCTGTGCTTGTAAATGCATTTGGAGATTATTTACATACTTTTCAAATAAATAACAGGCATACAAAAAGTATGCAAAAAAAAAAACATAAACTCAAATGTGAGTCTCATTCTTACTGTATTATATTTTCTTCAATGTCTGTACTACTTGGACTGAGAAATAGAAAGTAATTACTAAATAGTTTTAATTTCAAACCGAAGCATGTTGGTGCTTTTTTAAGTTGATTAAATTACAGTGTTTTCTTAAACTTTTCCCTTCAGACCTTGATGAATGTGAGAGTGGAGAAGCCTGCTGTGCCCAGCTCTGCGTCAACTATTTAGGAGGCTATGAATGTGGTTGTAAGGAGGGCTTTCGGATCAGTCCCAATGGTTGTGGATATGATGGTAAATTCCTGAGATCTAACACAAAGTAATGGCTGTGATGGATTAATCGATGGAGGATGAACATCCTAAGGCAGAGGGCGAGGGTGGAGAAAGGGAGGACTTCAACACTAAAAGATCTGGATTTCCATGTGCCTACCATTTACTATCGTATGAACTTGGGTGACTCATTTAACTGCTCTGAACCTCAGACCCTCGTCATTAAAATAAAGATGATAGTAGGATTAATGAGTAAATTAAGAAAAGTAATCAACATAAAGTGCCTACTACAGTGGTTGATAATCACTCAATTAAAAGTAGCCATTATTATTATAATATTCATTGTTCTATAATCCCTTTCAGCTAATTTAATATACGTAGGCAAATGAGAGATTCTGGCAGGCCATAGTACCCTGCTGTAGGGATTAGCCATGACAATTAGAATTGACTGGAATTAGAAAGTTGGTTACTGAAAGTCATTTTCAAAGAGCTTTTTAATTAGAGAGCAGTAGCAAAAAATTGCCAGCTCATGAGCCACAGTTCAATTCTCCACCTGTGAATCCCATACATAGCTGATATTAATATAGCTAATACAAGTTTTAAGATGAGTCATTTTACAATTTTCTAACTTGTTTGTTAACAATGATTCAGCTCCCTTTCAGATAATTTCTAGTTTATGTATTTTTTAATCTATCGCAGGTAAATTTGAATGCAGACAGTAAAGTTAATCGACTTTTCTTTTCTACCATTAAGAATATTCATGTAAATCATTGTTGTGTTGTACTTTTAAAAGTTTGTCTGAAATGTATAATCTTGAAATTTTAGTTTTGGACCATTATTACCATTATTGTGAACCATATTTTTTTTTTTAAATCAAAGCAAATATGAGAAGATTGATATCTATTCCAATAACAGTCAAATTAGGTAAGAAGAATTTAACACCTCAGAGAAAATAGTTTTTCTTAAAGAATCCTGTTGAGGGTGTTAGGTGTGTTTCTGCATACAGATGGCCAAGCACCCAAACTCTGCCATGTAGATAACAGCAAAGAACACAAGTATGAAATGTATGTATTCTAAACACAGTACAGCACATTACCATTTACTACATTCCATCCAATTAGCAGGGCCAGAAAAAAAGGAGTCCAAAAGTATGAAATTCATGTACCATCTGCTCCTAAACAGGGTGAGCCAAGAGAAGATTGTATGGCTTGAATGTACACAGTTGTATATACACATCCAAATGGAAAAGGTACCCACACATCTGAGACAAATCTCAGAAGCTCAACTTCATCTATGAATTTTTCGTATCATGAATATATTGACCAAAGTCTAGGCTCTGACTTAGACATACTAGCAAGTAAGCCACATGAGATCAAGGCCTAGGGTTCTTCCATCTCTAATATTCCCCACAACCCTTGTACAAAATTATGCATGGAAAGAGTGCTCTGTTATAGATACTGAATAAACCAAGAGGGAATGAACATGCTGCAAAATGGTGCACAGCCTGAGACCATTTAACTTATTTTAAGTTGTAAGTTCCTCATTAAAACCTCATGAACTCTAGGCTTAGTAAGCCCTTATCCATGTAGATGAACTATAGCGAAATTAAGAGTATGTGAAAGAAAAATAATTGGTAAGTTATACTTGAGTTAGCACTCAAGCTGAGCATTCTATATGGCAGTGTTATTGTTACACCATGGTTAATAATGGTCCCAGAAGGAGCCTGCATATGCCCATCAGTTCATCATGTCAATTTTATCTCTCAATGCCTAAAAGCAAATGTCTTTGTAATTTTCCTAGATGTGGATGAGTGCCTGGATGTCAGTATAGTCTGTGACCAACTATGTATCAATTCAGTGGGAACATATGACTGTACTTGTGAAGAAGGCTACAGAATTGGAAGTGACAGAAAAACTTGCATCGGTAAATCACTATGAAGGATTTTATTTTATCTCTTCTAAACTACTTTTCTTTCAGGAGCATAGGAGAGCAGATGTTCCTTAACTCAACCTGTCCTTCTCTTTCTATCTTTACCGACTGAGATCTTTCTTTCCCTTTTGTTCTCTGTGCTGCAGTTTCAACTCTGTGCTTGCAGCTTCTCGAGTTCATTTACAATAGACTTTTTGAAATGGCCTTCTCAAAGAGTTTTACCTTTTGGTCACCCCCTGCCTTTGTAGTCTAGTTCAAACTTTCTCTCATCAACCCTTGCTCAGTTTTTCTTTCTTTCAACCAGCATGCTTAATCCAGGCATTGTCCTGTATGGTCTTAATTTTAGATGATGATCGGCTAGAGGAAGAAGAAGAATTAGAAGTTGTGAGGTTTCCAGGCCTTCTGTTCAAGAGCCCACCTCAGCTGCCTCATTATGTTGTGGCCTCTCTGCCTCCCACCTATGAAGATGAGGAAGATGAGGAGGAAGAGGAGAAAGATATCTGAGGAGACCTTACTGCTTTACACAAAGTTGGTGAGTAAAAGAATTTACCTCATTACACTCACCTCTTTTCTTTATTTTTAGAAAATACACATAAGTTCTTGTAAGGACATTTAAAGATCTTTGTAACCTTCATTTCCCTGTTTTACACTTCATCAGCTACCCTACACCTTACACCCTCACTTCTATACATACCTATGGCCAACCCATTACCACTGAGTTGAATCTGACTCATAGCGACCCTATAAGACAGACTAGAACTGCTCCATAGGGTTTCCAAAGCTGTAATCTTTACAGAAGCAGACTGCTACATCTTTCTCTTGTGGAGCGGCGGGTGAGTTCGAACCACTGAACTTTTGGTTAGCAGCCAAGCACTTTAACCATGCACCACCACTCCTTTATCATGCAAAGTGAAGAAAGACAAAAGATGGTGGATTTGATGGAAAGCTCTGAAGAAGTGATTTTTTTCCCCACTTTCTTGCCAACATCATGTTAAAACATTTAATGTTTAAATGTCCATACAAATATCTTTAAATTAGTATAATGGGGAGATTGATTCGGACATTTCCCTTCTTCTGACTATTAAAGCCCAACTATAAGCCACTTTGATATTTACTTAAAATTTGCCTAAAATAGCATTAAAATCTAGGCTTTTCTGGATTCCAAAATACAGAGAATCAATTGTCCAATATACTTAAGTGGACCGGGAAAATCTTCAAAATTGTGAGCAGTTTTTGTTTGTTTTTGTTTTTTGTATATATAAGCAACAGAATTCAAGCACTGAATCACTTCTGATCAAAATAAATTAGCATAACCTCTCTCAAAAAGTCTGCTGCATTTTTTCTCTTCTTTGTAAAACAGAACTGCTCTTTTTGTTCTCTGTTTGTGGTATTTTTACAATATCAAAACTTAATGATCACTTTAGAATGCATTAAGTAAAATGGCAGAACACATTTTCATGTTATAGTCAATCGTAATAATATTAAGAAATACTTTTGCATGAAAATATAGATGCTTTAATGTTTCTTAATTAAACTCTCAATACTCTAGCTACTCAAAGTTAGAATTCAAATAGTTTAGGGTTACCAAGGCAGTCAGAACGTGAATGGCCACAATACAGAGAGGGGAAGCCCAAGGATGTGAGACAACAGTCTCTGCTGCTTTTCTTCTGAAACCATTTGCCAATGGATGGGCTGTGCAGGCAGAGAGGCAATCTATGAGACAACTGCTAAGATGGCAAAGAGCTAAGCACAGTTTTCAGCAGTCTTGTGCTGATGAGGAGGTAGGAGTTTGAGCTCAGCGCCTGCCAAAGTAGAGAAATCTTGGTAAACACAACAGGCTTTCAACTGGGATATCCAAATGGCCCCACCCATGTTGTTGTTGTTTGTTGCTGTGGAGTTGGCTATGGTGCAAACGGTTAAGCGATCGACTACTAGCCCAAACGTTGGCCCTTCTACCTTACCAAGAAGCACCTCAGAAGACAGTCCTGGCAATCTGCTTCCAAAAGGTCACAGCCTTAAAAACCCTATGGAACAGTTCTATTCTGCACACATGGGGTCACTATGAGATCCCTACCCTGCTGTTGTTGTTAGGTGCCATCAAGTTTTTTCCGACTCGTAGCAACCCTAAGTACAACAGAACGAAACACTGCCCGGTCCTGCACTATCCTAACAATCCTTGTTATGGTTGAGCCCATTATTTGCAGCCACTGTGTCAAGCCATCTTGTTGAAGGTCTTCCTCTTTTTCCATTAACGTCTACTTTACCAAGCATGATGTCCTCCTCCAGGGACTATTCCCGCCTGATAACATGTCCAAAGTATGTAAGACATGGTCTTGCCATCCTTGCTTCTAATGAGCATTCTAGCTGCACTTTTTCCAAGACAGATTTGTTCATTCTTCTGGCAGTCCATGGTATATTAAACATTCTTCACCAACACCATAATTCAAAGGTGTCAATTCTTCTTCAGTCTTCCTTATTCATTGTCCAGCTTTCACATGCATATGAGGCAATTGAAAACACCGAGTCTTAGGTCAGGCACATTTTATTCCTTACAGTGACATCTTTGTTTTTTAACACTTTAAAGAGGTCTTTTGCAGTGAATTTTCCCAATGCAATATGTCATCTGATTTCTTGACTGCTGCTTCTATGGGCATTGATTGTGGAGCCAAGTAAAATGCGTTCCACATTCCAATTATCAGTGGATGTTTGCAGCTGTTTCTTCTCATTTTGAGTCATACCACTTCAGCAGATGAAGGTCCTGAAAGCTTTACTCCATCCACGTCATTAAGGTTGACTCTACTTTGAGGAGGCAAGTCTTCCCTAGTTGTATTTTGAGTTCCTTCCAACCCGAGGGACTCATCTTCCGGCAATATATCACACAATTCCACTGCTATTCATAAGGTTTTCACTGGCCAATTTTTTCAGAAGTAGACTGTCGGCTTCTTCTTCCTAGTCGTAGTCCAGAAGCTCCACTGAAACCTGTCCACCAAGGGTGACCCTGCTGGTATTTGAAATACTGGTGTCAAAGCTTCCAGTATCACAGCAATACACAAGCCCCCACAGTACGACAAACTGACAGACGTGTGGTGGAGCCCTACCCTAGAAAGGGTCAAAAATTGAAATGGAGCAAGCCTTAAAATACAACTAAAACCCATTCTCTCAATCCTTATTCAGATTAAGGTAAATTTCTCTCAAGAACAGAATGGGTAAATGCATTGTTGTTTATTTATACAATGGAACACACTACACAGCCATAAAAGAATAAGCTACTGTACAATGTAGATGAGTCTCACAAACATAATATTGAGTGAAAAAAGCTGGACTCCAAAGATTATATAATTTTTAAAAATATTTTATTGTGGTTTTGGTAAAAGTTTACACAGCAAATTAGATTCCCATTTACCAATTTCCATACAATATTGTTCAATGAAATTGGTTACATTTTCTGCATTGTGTCAACATTCTCATTATTTCTGTTCTGGTTTTTCTGTTTCTATTGATATAGCTTCCCTGATGCTCCTACTCCCCCTCACCCTGCCCCTCACCTTCTCATCTTTGCTTTAGGGCAAATGTTGACCATTTGGTCTCACAGAGCTGATTTTTTTAAAAAGAAGCACGGGATTCATATTGATATTATAACTCATAACTGATGTTATTTGTTTTATGAGCCACTATGTCTTTTGGCTGATAGGTGACCTCCGGGAGTGGTTTGAGTTCAGAGTTTAAAGGATTTCTCAGGGTGATAGACTTGGGGGTTCCTCTAGTCTCTACTGGTCCAGTAGTCTGGCTATTTTTTTTTTTTTTTTTTAGAATTTGAGTTTTGTTGTACAATTTTCTCACATTCTGTTGGGGGCCATCTATTGTATCCCTGGTCAGAATGGTCAGTAGTAGTGGCCAGGCACCATCTAGTTCTTGTGGTCTCAGGATAGATGAGGCCGCAGTTTGTGTAGGCAATTAGTCCTGTAGACTAGTCTTTTCTTTGAGTCTTTGGTTTCCTTCTTTATTTTTTGCTGCAGACGAGTAAAGACCAATAGTTGTATCTTAGATGGCTGCTCACAAGATTTTAAGACCCTAGATGCTTCTCACCAAACTAGAATGTAGAACATAAACAGAGTATATAGTTTTTGATTCCACTTATATAAAGTCCAAAAATAAAGAAAGATAATCATAGTGACAGAAATCAGAATAATATTTAATTTGTGAGGCTAATGATAGAAGCGTCAAGTCACCTTGAGGCTTCTGGTGTGCTGGTAATGTTCTATGTCTTGATCTGGGTGGTCTGTCCATGAGGATGTGTGCATTGTGGGGAAAAAAGCCTTTGAAGCATACACTTGAGATTTGTGCACTTTTCTGCATATATGTTAAATTTCAATCAAAAGGTTTACTTGAAAGAAAAAAATCTATGCATAAAAATGATTGGAATGAAAAGTACCAAAATGCCATGAACATTTTTTTTTATTTTATTGTGCTATAGTTGAAAGTTTACAGCTCAAGTTAATTTCTCACTCAAAAATTTATACATGTAATGTTTTGTGATATTGGTTGCAATCCCCACAATGTGACAGCAAGCTCCTCCTTTCCACCCTAGGTTCCCTGTGTCCATTCGTCCATTTCCTATCCCTACCTGCCTTCTTATCTTGCTTTTGGACAAGAGTTGCGCATTTGGTCTCGTATATTTGATTAAATGAAGAAGCATGTTCCTCACATGTGCTACTTTTGTTTTATAGGCCTGTCTAATCTTTGTACAAAAGTGGGCTTCAGGAATGTTTTCAGTTTTGAGTTAGCAGAGTGTCCAGGGGCCATAGTCTTGGGGTGCCTCCAGTCTCTGTCAGACCAATAAGTCTGGTCTTTTTTGGTGAGTTTGAATTCTGTTCTACATTTTTCTCCTGTTCTATCCAGGACTCTCTGTTGTGATCCCTGTCGGAGCGGTTGATGGTGTTAGCTGGCGCCATCTAGTTTTTCTGGACTCAGGCTGGTGGAGTCTCTGGTTCCTG